TCACCACATCACATGCACGTGTGAAGGACTGTGCCCTTGTCCAAAGCATGACTCTCCGCACATACAAGCGTGAAGCACTGTGCCCTTGCCAGAAGCGAGCCGCTCGTGCGCGGTAAACGCTGACCTGAAGAACTGTAAAATTCGTCTGCCGACATGAACTTTGGAACACTTCCTTCGTCCACATCCTCCCATCCCTGCAGCGGGCAGCGTGTGGGTGTGAGCGAACAATCGAAAAATGGCACTTCATGCTCGTGCCATGCACTCTACTCTGCACAGCACGCGCACGCACCATTCACATGAACAACCAACACTAGCCAGTCACTGACGTGGGCAAACACAACAGCTTTGCACTCCAAGGCACACACACCCATGCACAAGCACCTCTTCGTCGTCATCGTCATCATCTGCTCCCTCCACTCCATCATCGTCGTAGTCGTCATCATCATCGCCATCGCCCTCCTCCTGCCGCTGCGCCTTCAGCAATTGCTCCTGATATTCGCCAACGAGCAGCTTGAACAGCTTCGTCTTGAGCGGAATGGTCGTGTATTTTGTGCCCCCGTCCGCCCGCGACTTGGACCGTGTGCGTATGCCTGGCGCGGCAACAGGAGGGGGAGGGTGTGAGAAGTAGGGCGTATGCGAGCGTGCATTTAAGTGTGTGCATGTGTGTAAATGTGTGTGCATGTGTGTAAATGTGTGTGCATGTGTGTAAATGTGAATGCACATGTGTATGTGTGACTTCACAAGTTGTGTGTGAATGCACATGCGTGTGAATGTACGAGCGAATGTGTGAACGAAATGCGTGCCAGCTGCTGTCACAAGCTTGCGCAGCCGTGCCGAGTCGACGACCCTTTCCTCTGAATGCGAATACAGCGCACCCTTTTCTTCGATGATATCGCCTTGCACGTTGATGGTGTCAAGTGCTGGGTGGCCAGACAGCAAGATCTTGATCAGAGCGCTCGTGCTGCACACACGCACACACATGATGAGTGGTGAGTCGAGCAAGTCAAGAGAGCGTGTGCAGCTCAAGGAAGTCAATCATCACACACGCGCGCAAACACAGAGGCATACACATGCACATACACATACACATACACAAACACATACGCATCAACACACGCGCGCGCACCTGCCAACAGGCTCACGAAAACACACCTGACTTTGACGTCGTAGTCGCCGTAAAATGAATCAAAGTGTGTGCACCAGAGGTTCATCACAAACTCGAGCGCGTTTTGCTCAACGAGAAAGTCCAAGACAACCGCTGTGTTTTCGTTGGCCAGGCGCGCGAAGATGAACAGCAGCGACTGTAACCGGGGCCGAGAATGTGGTGGTGTGATGATGGCGGAGGTGGTGATGGCGTGACGGAAGAATGCGCTGTGCTTGCGCCACGGTTTGAAACGTAAACCCATCCACGCCTACACATACACATACACAAACCCACATACATACACAAATAACACACGCGCGCACAAGCACACACACGCGCACACAAGCACACACACGCGCGCACAAGCACACGTACCAGAATGACAGTGCCTGCCTTTGCTTGCTGCATTTTGTTCAACACAGCCAAGAGAATGTCGTTCACATACGACCCAAGGTCATTTCCAGCCTGCACACACACGCGTGACAGTGATGAGCATGCGGGGAAATGGTGAAGAACATACGCGTGAGTGATAGGCACGGCATAACAGCATGGCAGCAGCTGATTCCACAAACAAAAGAAAATGCGCTCGTTCACTCACTAACACCATAACACACGCACACACACACACACACACTCCGACACACACACACACACACACACACTCCGCCACGCAACACGCGCACACATACACATGTGTAGGCACAGGTGTGCAACCCTTTCGTAGGCCCACGAGCAGCCGACCTTGAGAATGACGGCGGTGACGAGATTGCCGATAAACGCACATGCGGACTCCGACATCTCCTCGGAGAGCATGTATGCAATGAACTGAACACGAAACAAGAAGTGGGCAGGGCAGCAGGTGAGACTTGCTGCGAGCGATGACGGGATCAAGAGGAAGAGACGGACAGAAACATGGCAAGAACGTGTATGTGTGTGTGTGCGTGTGTGTATGTAATCGTGTGTGTGTGTGTGTGTCACCTGCACGACGAGGTAAAGGCCGGACGATCCATCCACCTCAAACGCCGAAACAACAGGATAGTGCTGCAGACATGCAAAGTCGTGAAGACAGGGTTGAGCACAGTGTTAGGTACGTTGAGCCTATGCGTGTGTGTGAGTGGATGTACATGTTTGTGTGTATGTGTGTGTATGTGTGTATGTGTGTGTCTGTGTGTGTGTGGGCCTTCGCTTGCGGATTTCACTGCCGTTCTGTCTGCCTGTGTGTGTGTGTGTGTGTGTGTGTGTGTGTGTATGTGTGTGTGTGTGTGTGTGTGTGTGTTATATCTTACCAAGCTGACGAACATGCGCAGGAATTCGCCACCAGTCTGTTGCCGCGTCCAAGCAATCACAACAGCGTGAGCAGAGAACATGAGGCATGGATTGGGAGCGAGAAACACGGGCGCACTTGCCTCTGAGTACTTCCCTCACCCACACTCACACACACCCACACACCCACACACATACACAAGCATACACACACATACACAAACACACGCACGCACGCACGCACAAACGCGCGCACACACGCGCGCGGTCTCTCTCACCTGCAAGAGCTCAATGTCATCGGAGTGCAGCAGCGTCTGTACTGTTTGTGGAAACGTTTTCTGCAGCAGGTCCTGCGCACGAGGAGCAATGGTGATCGGATGTCATGCGTGAGCACAAACAGAGAAGGTGCGACGGTAGCTTGCACACAGCCAGCGTCATCGCACGACATACACACATAACAGGCACGAATGCTCGTGTTTGCACCTGCACTTGGTCCTGCGGACAGTGCTTGACGACGTTTGTGAGGATGTGGAGTCCGATTTCGGCAACACCGGTGTACTCCTTCTCCTGGTGGTGCTGCACCAAGCCGACCTGATATGATGCAAGGTGATGTAGCACGACGAGTTTCAGAGGCGCGGCATAGGTTTCATGAGCACACTTGCACACACACACACACACACTCGCACACACACTTGCACACACTTGCACACACGCACATGGAGAGCGTGTACATTCCGCAAACCCTACATCCTTCACCAGTACATTTCCCACGACCTCACAGGCAACCCCACGGAGCGAGCGTGCATGCTGTGTAAACGCACGAATGTGGGCACTGCGCGCTGGATGATGACGGTGCACACGTCCGGGATCTCCGTGAGGATGCTCAGCAGCTCGCCCACGGCGTCGGCCACGGCAACATCTGAGGAGTCATGGCAGGCAATGGGTGTGGCGCGGCGGTGGGTGTGGGGTGGGGTGTGGTGAGGGATGTTTGCGCAAAAAGGGCACCAACGTGTGACAGAGAAAACAGAACGGGGTCCGACAGAAACAAATACAACACGGCAACCACAACCACAACCACAACCACAACCACAACCACAACCACAACCACAACCACAACCACAACCACAACCACAACCACACACCACCAACGGACCGCCTTGCGCTTTGAGGAAAACGGCGTTGGCGGCGGTGACGAGCTGCTGCGCATATGCAGTCGACACATTCGGGTCAATCTTGACCGTCTGGCTCAGCGTCTCAACCACCTCACGCACCACCTCCTGCACATGGCGACAAGTGGATGGAATGGTGAGCGAGTATGTGTGTGTACGTGTTTGTGCATGTGTGCGTTTGCATGTGTGTATGTGTGAGCCTTTTCTTGTGTCGTCAACGGTTGCCCCTTCATGTCAAGTGTCCACAACTTCAAACACGAGAACGACAACGACGGCACGAGGCACCAAGCGGTTGCAAGTCGTGGTGGCAGGTGCACCTGGGACGCGTTGGCGGCCATTGGAAGAAGGGACGAGATGAGCTGTTCTGCATACGGGTGAACGGCCTGTGGATTCTTCTCGGAGAGAACGCGACTGAAGTCGTTGAGCGCCTTCACACCGCCAACCTGGTGGCCACACGTCACACGATTTGGTGGAAAGAGGGAGATAGGGGTGGGTAGAATGGTTGTGGAGCAGTTGAGTGGTAGACATGATACTCACAGCGCATGTGCGCGGCACACACAAGCACACAATTATTCACGTACAAGCACGTGCAGCGCGCACCTGAACAGGGATTGGAGAGTCTGCTGTGAGACTGTTGATGGCGATGGCAAGCATGCCTGTGACGGCCTCTTCAGAGCACGCCTCCGTGTGTGTGTGTGTGTGTGTGTGTGTGTGCGTGCGTGCGTGTGTGTGTGTGTGTGTGTGTGTGTGTGTGTGTGTGTGTGTGTGTGCGTGTGTGTGTGTGTGTGTGCGTGTGTGTGTGCGTGTGTGTGTGTGCGTGTGAGTGTACGCTCGCCACACTTGCGTGTGTCACGAGTATGTGAAGCAGCAGCAGCAGCAGCAGCAGCAGCAGCAGCAGTATCAGTTTGTGGGATTACCTGGTCAAACAGGTCTGGCCACTGGTCGGGCCAATCAAACTTGGCAATCATGCTCACGCACAGCGCCTACACAGCACGCGGGGGCATGAAACGCCACAGAGCAATGTGCACCAGCACATGTGTGAATGCGTTGGCCAAACGAGCGCGCACAGTGCTTGAAGCAGTGGCACCACAACACCCGCCACCATCACTATCGTGTGCATGCGTACAGCAAGAGCGAAACCAAGACGCACCGCCATGCTTCGCAGCGCGCGGCTCTCGTCAGTGAGCGTCGTCAAGAGGTTTGATCGCACAACAGCCTTGACCTACAGTGTTGATACAAGAGCGGGGGTGAACGAAGTGTGTGGAATGGGATTCTTTTCTTGACTAACGGCACACGGATAGCCAAATACGCGAAGCAACAAGCGCGCGCGACAAGGGTGTGGCCTGTTGTACCCCATCGGTTGTGAGCGGCGGGGCAAACTTGCTGTCATTACTGTCCCAGTGGCGGGTGATGTTCTGCTTCAAGACAACGGCAGCCAACTGCCGGAAGTGGGGTGGTGTCTGATCGCTGGCCACTACATTGGACAGTGCTCCCACAAACTCTGCATGCAGAATGCGGTGTGTGTGTGTGTGTGTGTGTGTGTGTGTGTGTGTGTGTGTGTGTGTGTGTGTGTGTGTGTGTGTGTGTGTGTGTGTGTGTGTGTGTGTGTGTGTGCGTACGTGTGTGTGTGTGTGTGTGCGCACGTGTGTGTGTGTGTGTGTGTGTGTGTAAGACTGCCAAAAAAAAAGTGGCGCTCATTGGAGGAGCCTGCAATGGCATTCAGACTTGTGGGCGTGTCACTGGCCAACCTCAGTTTGCACCCAAAAAAAGGGGGGCAGGAGCGGTGATTGACACCCGCGCCAAGCACGCGTGACACCCCGCCTCATGAACCATGCCACACCACCAACCAAACGCCAAGCAACACACCTGGTGCCTGGTCGGAGAACTGTCGGAGCTGCTGCTCGCCCTGATCTCGCTTGTCGCGGTCCGCCTCCCCAGCCAACGCCAGCGCTTCCAGGATGGCTTGCTCCATGGCTCTGCTCCTCTGCTTACTTGCCTTCCGGTCGCTTGCTCGGACACTCTCGTGAGCAGTTGTGGTGCTTTCGAACAACGTGCTGCTGTGGGTTGGCGCGCTCCTGGATTCAAGTGCATGAGCAAAATACATGAAAAGACGCATTTTGATGTCATCATAGAAAATCAGCAAAAGATACTGGGTGAAATTCAAACCCAAACAAACCAGAAGCAAAAGCCATCACTCTTGAATTGCGTCCTTCCTGCGGCTGTGTCTTGCTTCTTTGCTGTGTTGCATCGTTCGTTGTCCTTCGAGCAAACACCTCGGACTGTTGCATTTACATCTCCTCCTGTCAATCGCGGATATCGCCAAAGCACATCACAAGCAAGCAAGCAAGCGAACAGCCAAGACAAGCACACGCCAAAGCAAAGCAAACCAAGCAGCCGAGACAAGTGAAGCAAGGAACATCGGATACAGACTGCTCGAAGTCACACATATACATACGTCTAACAACGCATCATGATGCGGTTCTCTCTTGTGCTGGCCCTTGTGGCCCTCGTTGGTGCTGTTGCACCAGCCATGGCTTGGCAGAAGCCTGCAACAACCAACGAGTTTACCGTGCAGATGGACGGCAACTGCCACGCCGACGGCAAGACCTGCGTCGCCAAAGCCAACTCGCAGAGCCTCACCACCCGCTTCGACTCGGATGACGCCGTCGAATTCACCAACAACGAGCTCATCGGCTCATGTACGTACGGCTGCATTTGTGCGTGCGTGAATGTGCGCGAATGTGCGTGAATGTATATGAGTTACATGCATGCGTGTGCGAGTGTGCATGCTTGCCCATGCACGCGTGGATGTGCACATTCATGCACGTGTGAGCGTGTGCACATGGACGATGTTCTTTGTTGCCGCGCCTTGTGGCTGCGCCTGCTTACGCACCTACCGAGCCACTTTCGCCTTTGCACTCTCTCCGTAACCTCCGCTCACCATCAACACACTCATGTGTGCACATGCCGTGCTATTCTTGTGTAACCCCCATTGATTGATGACAGACGCCCTGATGCAGACCACCATGAAGTTTTCCGACGACAACACCTTCTCTGCGTATGGCAACATCACGTTCGGTACGCACCCCGATTTCCTTCTCTGCACTCTTGCACGGGCGGGACTGCCGCTTCTTGTGAATCTGCCTCCACTTCTCTCCATCCTAAACAAGCATATCTGATGCTACACGACTCACACACCTGCTGCTGCTGTCATGTGCGCCTTTGTCGCGCCCTCCGCCCCCGCTATCCTGCTGCCCGACTTGTAGGCACGGGAACCTCCCGCGACCACACCATGTAAGTCCCCAGCCCACTGTTGATGTGCAGCTGTTTGTGAAGCGTTTACTTGGTTGTGCTGTGGAGCCGTGCCGGCAGCGGCGGTGCTATGTGCTCAGAACTGTCCTGATCCAGACTCACCCATGACCGCACACCCACGCGTGCATTCAACCGCTTGCTGGCAGCTACTTTGACTCGCGTGGCAACGTTGGCCGCAAGCAATACGTCGTTGTCGGCAAGGACGACTACACCTTCGCGTACTCCGCCTTTGTCGTTGGCGGCACGGGGGCGCTGGACGGTGCGCTCGGGTTCGTCAGCGTGACCGGTTACAGCACCGACACGGAACTCAACACCTTCAACCAGTTTGTGTCGCTCGTCTGCAACGTGGACCTGGACAAGCTGAAGAAGCAGGACATGCACCTGGCCAAGCCATGAGCACCAACGTGCCACCACCTCCTGCTCCTGCTCCTGTTGCTCATAAGCGAATGACTCTGTCTGCTCCTCGCACCGTTGGCTTTCGTGTTGGCTGCCATGCTGGCTCACGTTGATCGCCCCACCTTCACGTGGGGGGGGGGGGGTTTGTTTCTTGTTTTGTTTTGCTTGGTGTGCCACCGCCGCAATTTTCGTCCATACCTGACGTGCTGTCTGCGCTCATGGGTTTTGCGTTCCACCTGCTTGATGTTCCCCTCTTCCCCGACTTCCCTTTCGCCTGTTGTTACCATGCTTGCATGCAGCAGACCCCAACCTTCTTGCCGTTGTTGCCCACACACGCCCTGCCCTTGCCTTGACAGCCGTCTTGGTTCCTTACGTGACATGACCTCCACCAATTTCATTCCCCCTCTCGCTTTGTTCATATGGTCGCGCCAAATACACCAGTCAACTCTGCTGAAGTGTTTATGGACACAATTCAGACAGTCAGCAATGTACACGATGATGATTTGCGTGCGTGTGTGTGTGTGTCTGTGTGTGTGTGGTGCGTGTTGCTATCTCCAGATGCGCACAGTGTTGTCTTTGCTTGCTGGAAAGCGCACACAAGGGCAAGGAAACAGATTGTACAAGGAAAGGAAGATGAGCATGTGAACGAGGTTTAAAGTGGGGCGAGCATGTGCATGTGCAGATACAATTTAGCTCGCACACACACACACGCACGCATACACGCACGCACGTGAGTGCTGCTGACCCACCTGTGATCACCATGTTGCCGTGATAGTTAAAGCTGCACGAAATCAACTCTTCCGTATGCCCATCCAGCACCTGAAGCAGACCCGCATGTGCGTGTGCGTGTGTGTGCGTGCGTGCGTATGTGTGTGCGTGCATGAGAGAGGCACAGAAAGGTATTTGTGAGTGAACGCTCATTGCTTGCGCCCATACACTCATGCACCACAACCACAACCACAACCACCACCACAACCACAACCACAACTACTGCTGCCACCACAGTGCCTGCGGTCATGATACGGAAGCGCGTGCATTTGGGGGTCACACCTGAATGCATCTCCCCGTCGCCACGTCCCAGATGCGGGCGGTGCGATCTGAACTCGACGAGAGGAGCCGGTCTCCCAGCGGACTGAACGCAATCTGCCGTCGTGGCGATTGTGGTGGTGGTGGCGATTGTGGCGGTGGTAATGATGTAATGATGGCATGAGACGAGGTGGTTCAGGCAACACGCGGAACGGTGACCGACAGCGTGATTGCTATGTTGTGTGTATGGTGCAGAGCACGCACGCACACGCACACACGCACACGCACACGCACACGCGCACACGCGCACATGCACGCACACGCACACACGCACACATTCATACCTTCACGATGTCTGCCTCGTGACCGTGCAGGGACACGAGCATGTCAAAGGTGTCTGTGGCAAACACCTTGATGGTGCCATCAGCACACGCCGTCGCCAGCAAGCGGCCCGTGCAGTCAAACGCCACATCCAGCACCCCATCGCTGTGCGCACTGCACCCACAGACGCGGGGATGGACGAGTTGGGAAATGGAGGAGTGAGCACATTAGTACGCCAGATGCAAAATGCACAAGCAAAGAGGGGGAGGGGGTGCAACACAGCGAAAGCAAACCAAATCAAACAATCAGAAAAGGCAGAGCAAGCCAGAAACGCACGCACATGCACACGCACACGCACACGTCCACACCCACACATACGTGATGGTGGTGATGCAAGCGCCGGAGTGGGCATCCCACAGACGACACGTGTTGTCCATGCCACCGGTGGCAACAACGGTGCCCTCGAAGTTGACGCCGAGGGAAGAGAGCTCGCGCTGGTGTCCGATGAGTGTATGCAATCGCTCCCCACGCCGCGCGTCCCACAGTATCGCCGTGTGGTCAAACGACCCTGCAAACACGCAGAAGAGGCAAGTCACAGTTACGTGTGTGTGTGTGTGTGTGTGTTGTGTGGCTGCACGTGTTTCGCCCCGTGCGTGCATATTGATCAACGCACGCATGCACACCAGCAACACACCTGTGACAAGGATGGAGCTGTCCTGTGTGAAACGCATGCAGATAATCTCTGCCGTGTGGCCCTGATGCAGCACACACACACACACACACACACACACACACACACACACACACACACACACACACACACACACACACACACACACACGGATAGATACACCCGAACATGCACACACACGCATGTGAAAAAAAGATGAGTGCCATAGAGTTGTGCACTTCCTTGCACTATGGGCGCTGACCAGCCAACACACACACACACACACACGCAAGCACACACACGCAAGCACACACACACGCGCGCGCCTGCACGACCACATGCCGCACCTGCAATGTGGCGAGTTCTGTGTATGAGGCCGTGTCCCAGATGCGCGCTGTGCGGTCCATGCTTCCAGTGGCCAGGAGCGTGTTGTGGTAATCAAAGCGCAGGCACACAATCTCCGTCTTGTGGCCCCGCAGTGTCGCAACACATTTGCCCGTCTCCGCATCCCACACCTGCAGTTTAAATGTCAGTGTGTGTGTGTGAAATAGAGAAAAAAAAAGGAGACAGAGAGAGAGAGAGAGACAGAGAGACAGAGAGTGTGTGAGTGCGTATGTGTACGTGGGTGGTCACAACCAAGCACGAAGCAACAGGCAAGGCCCAGTCGGCCACAAGTTGCGAAACACCATACGCACGCGGCATGTTTTGTCAAAGGATCCGGTGGCAATGCGGTCGCTGTTGTTGTTGTTGTTGACGGAACGGCAGTGATATGACGACACGCGTGTGCATCATGGCAGGAGCAGCATGCGTGAATTGGTGATTCATTGTGAGCTGTGACAACACATGAACAATACATGTATGGGGCGGTGTGTGTGTGTGTGTGGGGGGGGGTGTGGGGTGTGTGTGTGTGTGTGTGTGTGTGTGTGTGTGTGTGTGTGTGTGTGTGTGTGTGTGTGCAAGTGTGTGTACATGTGTGCTCACATGTGTGCTTACATGTGTGTGTGGCAAGCAAAGCGCTACATGTGCCAGTGCAGTAGGCTTCAACACCACTGCTGCGTCTTGAAACCACTCAACACTCACCCAAAGGGGTTGTTAAAAGCTACAGCATACACAACATTCTTGTGGCCTTCCAAGCTAAACAGCTCCTCTCCAGTTGAGGTGTTCCACACCTGCCACAAACGTTGTGAAGGGGGGGGCAGAGCGTGTGAGGTCGCCGTGTGTGTGTGTGTGTGTGTGTGTGTGTGTGTGTGTGTGTGTGTGTGTGTGTGTGTGTGTGTGTGTGTGTGTGTGTGTGTGTGTGTCTGTGTGTGTTAGTGTGTGTGTGTGTGTGTCTGTGTGTCTGTGTGTGTTAGTGTGTGTGTGTGTGTGTTCGTTTGCATCGTGAAGCCGGGAACGAAAGCGAAACCAACGCATGCATGCAGCTGCCCAAGAAACAAGCGCATTCTTGTCCAAAACGCACAAGCATACTTGCACACAAGCACACACGCACACGCACACGCACACGCACACACACACACGCACGCACACACACGCACACACAAAAACCCTGCCACTCAAAGAAAGTGCCAGGATACAAATACATTGGCTACCTTGCAGGTGCGGTCATAGCTGCCTGTGATTAACCTTGTGCCAGATTTGTTCAGTGCAATGTTGGTCAACGGCAGGACATGTGCCTTGATCACCTGGTGGGCGTGGGTGGCCAGAGGTATGAATGTCATGCTTGAGGTAGGAACACATTATGAGGAATGTGGAAACGGTTGTCCACGACGAGAAACAAGTGCACCACAGTGACCACAGTGACCACAGTGACCGCAGGCCAACAACCTTGGACAGCGCAAGCTGCTTGTGGGATGCCAATGCTCCTAGCTGCTGTTGCAACCGGGTGAGCAGCTGTTTGAGCTGTGGTTTGCGTCGCTCCGTGATGAGGGCCTCCCGCTGTGTGATTTCGTCCAGTACTTCGTCCAAATTTGTGCTGTCCACCCAAACCATGCAGATGCGAGTCAGGCAGAGTGGGGCAGAGTGGGGCAGAGTAAGAGACGGGTGTTGGCCTTTTTCCTGCGTGCCATTGTTCGTACGAACATTGCAGGTCGCCCGCGACTTACGTCTCATCAAGGTCCAGAAGGTCAATGCACTTGGACCGCTGCTCCCCGCCCTTTGTATACTCAAGAATGACACCTGAGCACGTTGAAGATGATGGGCGCCCAGATGCGCATGTATGTGTGTGTGTTTGAGTGTGCTTTTCAGTGTGTGCTTGAGACTGTGTGTGTTTGTTTGAGAGTGTGTATGTGTGTGCTTGAGATTGTGTGTGTGTGTATGTTTGTGCACGCGTTGTTGTCTATGTGTGTGTGTGCGTACGCTCTCTGCTTACTGAGTGAGTGCTTTTCTCGGCACTCTGGGGTTGTACAAACACACACGCACACACGCACACACACACGCACACACGCATACACACCTGGTGGGTGATACCGCAGCAGGAACCGTCGCAGCCGCATCTCGCTCGCGCACAGCAGCAGCAGCAAAAGATGTGCTGTGTTGGTTCGTTTGTTTTGTTGCTGCTGTTGTTGGGGGGTTGCCTTCGAGTTGGGAGGAATCGCCAAATTTTTGTATGATTTTCAGCAGCCGGCAAGCGAGTTGAACGCTGCTGGTGATGATTCCGCTGCTGCTGCACCACCTCGCACTGCAGGTCACACGGCATCGTTCGACTCACGCGACATTCGGCACTCGACAAACGGCTAACAGAGGCTGCTCAGCAACCTCGAAGAGAAGGGGGTTCGTGTGTCGTTCGCTGCTGCCCTGTTTCGGCGATGGCGCGCGTCTGGGCGGTGGTGGTGGCGGCGGCGGCGGTGGTGTTCATGGTTGCAGCTGCGTGTGGCTTAATGATGAAGTCTGCTGACTCGAGCGAGAGTAGCGCCATTGGCAGAACCGGAGTGCAACTACGGGAAGATGGCGGCTCGACTTCTTCCACAACAGCAACAAGAGAAGAAAGGGGGAGAAGAGCGGGACGGCAAGGTGGTGGTGGTGATGTTGCTGCTGATGCTGCTACTGCTGTTGCTGCTGCTGCTGCTGCTGCTGCTGCGAGCCCCCATGCATTGCGACCAGCAAAAGCACGACCTGCCCCTGAGGACGGTGTTGACGGGAGGTGGATGAGCCCCGCGTTGCGGAAATTTCGGGTTGTCGCGCGAAATGAAAGACGGCTTTT